TACTAAAGATTGTGATTGAAGAAGAGTGGAGTTGGTAGCTTTTCGATTAAGAGAATCCAAGCACAAAAACTGTCAGCATGTGATGTCACTCAGTCACAACAAAAACAAATGTGTCTCGGCTTCCTCCATCTTTGTGTAGTTGCTAGTCTCTGATGTCAACTACTGCATTTTAGTAGGTAAGGAATTAGCAATCAGAGTAATTTAATACACACATTCATTTATATGAGAAATCTCTGAAATAGGATGCACATGCTATGGTTAATAACAGCAAAACAGCTCCAGGTTTACAATTCCTGCCCAGACTAACTTGCATTCCTATCTGAACAGGCTTGTTGGAATGTCTCATACCAGTAGCCCTGCAGGCAGAAGTGATGAACATTGACAGAAGAATGGCTTCCACATGCTTTCAATATGGTCGAGGGTTCAGGTGACAGATTAATTCAATTGGTCACTTGGAAGACTTGGGTGGAGTACCATACAAGATAGAGTCTTCATGCATATGTGTGCTTTAGGAAAAAGAAGGTCAAATAAAAGTCAGGAGCATGTATAAATTCCAAGTAATAGTAAAAGCAAAAAGGAATGATTGAGACAAATTAACTAGTGTAAAAATAAATCTCTAAAGCCACTCCCTCCATGACTGAGTGATGTTTTCCAAACCATATACTGAATATTTTAGATAATAACATGCTGTGATATGCAGAAAATCTGGGACACTAAGACTTACATTGTTCTGTCTCACAGAAACAAATGGCTTAACATAAAATGCTCAGCTTGATGAGTCAAACTGCATTCCAAACTAAGTGTTGCCTTGATTCTTCAATCATTGCAAATAGTGTGACTAGATTTACAATCCTGGAATTAAAGGAAGTCTACTAGCTAACTGCATCTCATCAACTCCTTGAAAAATTAAGTACTGTGCCCAAAGATCACACGTTTGAGTAAGTGTGAATTTGACATGCTAATTCAGAATATTTTCTGCAGTCCTTTTTCCTCCTATTCCAATTATTCCTTACTCAATCCCACCTCAACCTGACCATTCTGAAGGAAATCACATCTGTTAGGATTCTCAGCTGTTCTCAAAAGCCCTGTTTTGTCACATGGACCAGCTGCGAGCAATGCAATCCAACTCTGCCTCGTGTGTGGTGACAACCTATTACCTGAGCCATCTGCCATAGCTGCCTCCCAGGTCTACACTAGCAGGAAGCTAAATTCATCGGCAAAAGAAGGAATCAAAACCAGGAACTCCACTCAAGATGGAATGTAAGTGTCCCAACTGCTGAAACAAACACCATGTCCTGAGATGCAGCCTTAAATTCTGGGATTTGGGGCCCAGTGTGATAATGTGGCAGTTAAAGTCCTCACCTTGAATGCACCAGGATCCCATATGGGCACTGGTTCTAATTCCGGCAGCTCTATTTCCCATCCAGCTCCCTGCTTGTGGCCTGGGAGAGCAGTCAAGGATGGCCCAAAGAGCCTCTCCCTGCATGGGAGACCTGGAGGAAGTTCCAGGCTCCTGACTTCGGATTGGCTCAGCTTGGCCATTGCAGCTGCTTGGGGAGTAAACCATCGGACAGAAGATCTTCCTCTCTGTCTCTCTTCCTCTCTGTATATCTGCCTTTCCAATAAAAATAAAATAAATCTTCTAAAAAAATCTTGGAATCTTATTTATTCCTAAAATTCTAGCCTATACAATTTGTTTTTGAGCCCATGAAATAAAAGTGATCAAGGAGTTTTGTAAATCCTCAGGGAATTCACAGACGAAATATAGAGATAAATAATAAAATGAACAATTAAAATGTGTCGCCTTAATGCATGTTATTATTGAAACTCAAAAATAAAATTCTAAATAAAATTAATACCTAATGTGTAGTCTGAAAGAATAGGCAATGTCAGTCATTACAAACAGAATAAAGACAAAAAGAAAATACTAAAACAGAGTATGGAGGTGATGACAGAGCCAGGCATCACCTCTCATGTCTCTCTTTTACTCACCATGTGACAACCGAGCGGCCTCTTCACAAAGCACACCCAACTCCTTACAAAGCAAAGGTACTATATATATATATATATTTTAATTTTGCACACTTTTACTTGAAAGGCACATTTATAGAGCCAGGAGAGACAGGGAGAGCAAGATTTTCCATCTGCTGGTTCACTCCCCAAATGGCCCCAACTACCAGAGTTGGGCTAAACTGAATCCAGAAACCTGGAGATTCTTCTAAATCTCCAACTTGGGTTCAGGAGCCTAAGGACTTGGGCCATGCTCCGCTGCTTTCCCAGGAACATTAGTAAGGAGCTAGCTTGGAATCAGAGCAGTCGGAACTTGAATAGTGTTCATATGGAAATCTGGCATGGCAGGCAGTGGCTTAATCCACTATGCCAGATTGTCAGACAAAATAATATATGTTAATTAAAATGTTCCTGTTTTATGAAATAATATTCAAAGGATCTGTGTTACTTAAAAATAAGATTTGGAAAATACTTCTACCTTTGTTCCTGTGTTTCTGAACTATATGTCAACAAAGAGAAATCAGTCTGTCAATGCATTATTTTTTAAGAAAATGCTTATGTGTAGGTAAATATATAATAAAGCTATCCCCAAATGAAGCATTTTTTATTATGTAGAAAAATTTTCTAAAATATTCTGAATATGAATTTTCAAGTAGTTTTGTTTATTCATCTGAAGTTTCTTTCCAAATGTTACAGAAGTATGAATACTGCCAATATTACTGAGATGTATTCCCTTTCACAGGACTGAAGAGCCTACTCATTTTCAGTACAATACTTTTGAGAATATGCCACACCTCACCAAGTGTGGACACGTGGTTCTCTAAAATGAAGGAAGGATGCAGTGGCAATTCAAGCTCTGTCCCCACTACATTAATGAATAGCCCATAATCCTGGATTATCTTTGATTCAGTCTAATTTTTACATATTCACTAATGGTTGAAATTGAAGTTGTAGGATGGGCATTATGAATATGAAAACTGGTATGCTGTGATATTGCTGTTCAACAGGCTAGCAGACAAGCATGGAAAATGGGATTATCAAAATAACATCCCCAAATACATAATAAGCGCAATAAATGCCATCTATATATCACAAATACTAAAAAAAGTAGCTATTTGTTTTTATTGGAAAGGCAGATTTACAGAGAAAAGGAAAGACAAATATCTCCTGTCCACTGATTCACTCCCCAGGTAGCTGCCATGGCAGGAGCTGAGCTGCTCTGGAACCAGGAGCCAGGAGCTTCTTCTGCGTCTTCCATGCAGGTACAGCTCCCCAAGGCTTTGGCCATCCTTGACTGCTTTCCTGCGCCAAAGCCTTGGGGAGCTGGATGGGAAGTGGAGCAGCCAGGATACAATCCTGCTCCCATGTGGGAACCCAGGCACATGCAAGTTTAGGATTTAGTTACTAGGCTATCGTGTCGGGCCCTACATTCATTATTTTTAACAGCAACAGTGGTATAAAATTGTAGTATCATTACAGAATTTTTTTCTGATATTTAAGCTCTTAGGAAGCACTGTACAAAGAATGTGAGAAATCATTAGTGCAGATTGCATAAGAATTCAAATATGTACTCCCCTGTATTTTGATATTTCACATTATCAGTCTTTAATTCTTTACCTAAGTGTATATGTATTTTCAAATTATATCTTGTGAAATAGGATTTTTTTAATTTCAAAAAGTAAAACTGTACTTTTACTTAAGAAAAAAGTGATATTTTTTTAGCTAGTGATACGCTACATCAAATTCTCTGTCATTTTTGACATTGGAAAATAAGGTCAGTACCTTTTGAGTGCTGAAAGCATACTTTCTTTTAAAGCTATAAAGCTTCTGTATTAATAGAATCCCAAACATTCCATAGTGGTGGCTCAACAGGCTGAAATGTGAGTTCAGAAAGCCCATTTTGATCTAAATTGTTTACTCTGATTTTCTGCAGGGGATACTGAACAAGTGTCTACAGTTCAGTTCTTGAAACTGTGGTCCAGTTAGGGAACCACAGGGAGGTTAACTGGCAACATTCAGAATGCCATGGAGACAGGGCAAGGGGTTGTTCCTGACATTTTTCAAATGAAGTTCTGAACAGAACTCTTCTATTAAAGTTTCTGGAAGTGAGATTCAGTAGTTAGGGAGTAAGATTCAGAGGTGGGAGGTTGCTATTAACCATGTATAGAAATGCATTTGGTGAGCAGATCCAAGGCAAGGCAAAGGCAGGGAGAAGAGAAAGGCAGAGAACAGTGACACAATGTTATATGTTGTTTCTTTTAAAGATTTATTTATTTTCATTTCAAAGGCAGATTTTGTAGATATAGAAGGAGACAGAAAGAGTTGTCGTCTGTCCACTGGTCCCAGTCCCCAAACTAACACAGTGTCCAGAGCTGAGCTGATCTGAAGCTGGGAGCCAGGAGCTTCCTCTGGATCTCCCACGTGGGTATAGAGCTCCAAGGAGTTGGACCTTCCTTCACCCTTTGCCCAGAACATAAGCAAAGAGCTGGATCCAAAGTGAAGCAGCTGGGATGCAGGGTAGGATTCTGAAACTTTCAGGCAGAGGGTTAGTGTGCTCTGTCACACTGCCAGTCTCACAAATATCATTTTTCACTGAACTATTTTGTTTGGTAGTTTATATGGAAATTCTTAAAAAATACCATATTAATACAATGCGTTTTCTGCGATACAAGTGAAGGCTAGGCCACTGCACGAAATATTAAATTTTACCTATAGAAGTGGCAAACATTTGTGGCAATATGAGAAGCAGCCATATTTAACAATAGTTAGACAAGGCCACAGAAGTCTCTGGAAACGCTGCTCTGTGAATTATACCTTAAGAATACTTCCTTTCCAAAGATTAGAAAACAAATCTTTTGGTTACAAAATTCTTAAAGTATCTATTTATGTGTTCAGGCAAGTTTTTGATAGAAATAAGTATATCTACAGAAATCACCAATTCTTTGACCAGCAACAGGCATTTGTTCTGGTTCTCAGTACCTTTGGTTTTATGGAGATTATGTATCTGTTTCAGCCACAATAAGGAAAGTTCCTTTAGAGAATCTCTTGTCCATGATCCACATTCGATATCCTGGCATGTCCCACATGCATGATGTGCAACACACAGTAAGAACTCCTCTAATTTCTGTGAACAAAAAAGACCTGTGCAGACAGAAGAGAAATTCTTTCATACAATGCCCAGCAGCCATGGAAATGAGATTCAACACCTTTTCTAAAGTACAGAAAAACTGTGATTTAAACAGAGTTCTTTCAGGGGTTTTTTCTAAAACAATGCCTTTCATCACAGATATTTCAACTGTTATGGTGTTTAACCTGAGAGAAATCACAAATGAAACATGTCACTTACTAATCCAGCAATGGAAAGCAAACATTGCAATTGGGTTTGAGAAAGCAGATTCTTTCCTCTACCTGAGCAATACAGTGTTATCAGCAGACATTCTCATTATCGTGTGGTTATCAACTCACTGGAGCAAATGAAAATTTCATGAATACCTAGCAAGTTTCTAGAGATTTAAAACATGTTATGTGCAAGGTTCTCGTTTCTTATTACAAACCACTTCCCTTGACTGGCATGAACTGAAGCAATTTGGACCACTCTTCACTACAAAACAGTTCATCGTTTTTAGTCATTGCCAATTTTGATAAGGTGCAAATATTTATGTGGCACGGGAGGAATGGAGCAGAATGACTATTTTCATTCTACATTTGTCTAGAAACTGAATTTTTAAAACATGCAAAATGAATTTAGGGGCCCGGAGCAGTGGCCTAGCAGCTAAAGTGCTTGCCTTGAATGCACCTGGGATCCCATATGGGAACCAGCTCTAATTCCGGCAGCTCCACTTCCCATCCAGCTCCCTGCCTATGGCTTGGGAAAGCAGTCGAGGACGGCCCAAAGTCTTGGGACCCTGCATTTGCATGGGAGTCCTAGAGGATGTTCTTGGCTCCTGGCTTTGAATCGGCACAGCTCTGGCCAATGCATTCACTTGGGGAGTGAATCATCAGACGGAAGATCTTCCTTTCTGTTTTTTCCTCCTCTCTGTATATCTGACATTGGTGGAAAACTAGAATTGGAAGCCAGAATCCAAAATCGAATCCAGACACTCTAGTTTGGACTGCAGATATCTTAAATGTAATTCTAAACATCTGCCCTGTTCTTCTCATTCTCAAGTTAAGATGGGAACTATGAGGAGGGAGGACTGGCATGTGGCACGGCACTTAAGGCACTGCTTGAGGGCTTGTAGCCCCTAGTGCAGCATATGGTTCATTCCATTCTCAATCCGACTTTCTACGAAAATGCACCCTGGGAGGTGGCAGTACTTGGGTCCCTACTACTAAGGTACAAAATATGGATATGGTTTCAAATTCCTTATTTCTGCCTGGCCTAAACTCAGCTGTCACACACCTGGGAAGTAAACCAATGAATGGAAGAGTTTTGTTTTGTCATCTGTCTCTGTCTCCACTTCTAATGGACTAAAAGCAAATAAATTATTTCAAAAAATATTTGAGAAATCTTCCAAACATTTGTGAAAATGATATAAATGGATAATACTTTCCATGAAGTTTATGAAGAACTGTTGTTTGTTTTGTCAGCTCCTAACAAGATAAAGAAATATGATTTTCTACTTTTTTTGTCACTTATGTATATATACAACTTTTTTTTTAAAGATTTATTTTTATTATTTTTTTTATTGGAAAGGTGGATATACAGAGAGGAGAGACAGAGAGGAAGATCTTCTGTCCGATGATTCACTCCCCAAGTGAGCACAACGGCCAATGCTATGCCGATCTGAAGCCAGGAGCCTCTTCCAGGTCTCCCGCGCGGGTGCAGGGTCCCAAAGCTTTGGGCCGTCCTTGACTGCTTTCCTGGGCCACAGGCAGGGAGCTGGAAGGGAAGCGGGGCTGCCGGGATTAGAACCGGCGCCCAAATGGGATCCCAGGCGTGCAAGGCGAGGACCTTAACCACTTGCGCCACCGCGCTGGGCCCTATATACAACTTTTGAGAAAGTTTGAAGGGTTGAGGATGCAACAGAGAATTGTTGATGCATTTCAACAATCATGAAATGTAAGTGGTTCTGAGCTTTTAAATTCAATAAACATAGGGAACACAGCTTCTAATAAAAATTGACCTAAGTGCTTATAGTTCAAAATTAGCAAGACATCAGCTCCTATCAAATGTCTTCTATCCGTAGGGTCAGGAATGTGGTGTAGCAGATTATGCTACCACCTGAGATGCTGATATCCATACAGCTGCTCCACTTCTGATCCAGCTCCCTTTTCCTAACATACTTGGAAAAGCAGCCGATGATGGCCTAGGTACTTGGGCCCCTGAACCTGCATGGCAGATGGTGGTGGATGCTCCCGACTCCTGGTTTGGGCCTGGCTCAGTTCCTGCCTTGACAGCCATTTGAGCCCTGAACTAGAGGAGGAAAATCTGTTTCTGCGTGTTTTCTCCTTTCTGTAACTATGCTTGTTGAATAAATGTTTTTTTAAAAATTCTTTCTAATCTTTCCATTATATTTTATGGACCAATGTAATAAACAAGAAGATGACACATCTGTAATGCAGACAGCACATTTCTGTAGTTAATGGCACTTAGTTGAGAGCAATCCTTTTAGACAGAAGGGACTCACAAAATGAAACTAAGATTGCATCAATGATTTCTACATTATATTACTAAATAATACTTAAAATTTTAATTCAATTTACAAAACTTTGATATTTGAATTAAATGAATTAAATTTCTATTCATTAAATGGAAATGAATGGAATTCACAGTAAAAAAGTATATCCATTTGCATTTTTTAAAAAGCTAGTAATTGAATAAACCTAAATGTAGCTCAGCTGTAATTCATATTTGACAGTATTTTTATGTTTAAAATTTAAATGTTATTAAGTATACATTATATAATTCAATGTAATCAGTAACAAATTTATTACACAGATCAATAGAATGGAACTGAGATCCCAGAAAATAATCTGCGTACATATAGTCAAGTTATTTTTAGTAAGTGAGGCCAGAACATGCATTATGGATAACCTTTTCAATAAACAAAAATTTCACAGCCAAATATATGAATCGATACATGTACATGAATGAAATAAGAACTCCAGCTCTCAACATGTGTGATAATCAAGTCAAGATGTATCCACAAGCTAAAACTGATGTGTGAAACTGTGTAACTGTCAGAAGAAAATGTAAGGGGAAGACATTGATGTAGATGATGACTTCCTGGATAAAACTCTCCAAGTGCAGGCAGCGAATGCAAAACCGGGCAAATGGGATTATACCAAACTCAAAAGCTCTTCACAGCAAAACCAGCAATCAATACAGCACAGAGATCCCTCCAAGAACAAGGGAAACTATTTTTGAGTTACTTTTTCTTGACAATGAATTCACAGAGTATACCAAGGATTCAAAAAGTCAATAACAATAGCAACCAAAAATGAACCAGTTTAAAAAATAAGCAAAAGATATGAATAGTTTTCAAAACAACAAATTTATATGGTTAGCAAATATATGAAAACAAAGTTCAGTACTATTAGACCTAACAACAATGCAAATCACAACCACAATGGCCACAATGAGCTATCTATCACCTCATCCAAATGGCCATTGTCCAAGACAGGCACAGATGGTGGAGAGAAAGGGGAGATAGGGAAGTGGCTTTATGCTGTGGATGGGAATGTAAACCAGCATTGCACTGTGACAAGTAATAGTATCGTGTTAAATCTACAAACAGACCTATCATATGACCCAAAAATCCTGCTACTGGGTAAAAAACCAGAAGACATGAACTCAAATTTTATCATAGACAACTGTTCCATGATTTGTGTAGCTAAAATATGGAACCAACCACGGAATTAGCCATGGTGTCCATTATGTAGGGAATGGATAAAGGAACACACCAATAGCTATGAAGAAGAATAAAATTTCATCAATTTCAGAAAAATGTTTGCAACTGGAGGAATAAACTGTTGGCTGAAAGAAACCAAGCACAGAAGTCAAATATCACATGCTCTCCCTTAAATGTAAAAACTAACATTAAAACTAAAAAAATAAATGCCCATGTGTATGAGCTTTGCTGAAAAGTTAGTGTTTTATCAAACTTTGCTTTAAATCTTTCTCAAACAAATTGATAGAAATTATATACTAGTATAATCTTCATGACTTTATAACTTCTTTAACAATTTTTAAAAGATTTCTTTTGCTTTTATTGCAAAGTCAAATATACAGAAGGGGGAGAGACAGAGAGGAAAATCTTCCATCCACTGGTTCACTCCCCAAGTGGGGCAACAGCTGGAGCTGTGCTGATCTGAAGCTAGGAGCCCGAAGCTTCTTCCGGATCTCCCATGTGGGTGCAGGACTCCAACCAAGACTTTGGGCCATCTTGACTACTTTCCCAGGCCAAAAGCAGGGAGCTGGATGGGAAGTTGGGTCACCAGGAAATGAACCAGTGCCCATATGAGATCCTGGGCATGCAAAACGAGGACTTTAGCTGCTAGGCTACCATGTCAGATCCTTTATTTAACAATTTTTAAAAGAATTATTTAATTTCTTATTTGAAAGGCAGATTCAAAGAGAAGGACAGAAAGAGCGAAAGAGAGAAAGAGAGGGAGAGAGAGAAAAAAAGCCTTTCATCTGATGGCTTACTTTCCAAACAGTTATAACAGAGTTCAGCCAGTCTGAATCTAGGAGCCAGGAGCTTCTTCCAGATTTCCCACATAGGGTACAGGCGCATTAAAGACCTGAGCAATCTTCCACTGCTTTCCCAGGTCATAATCAGGCAAAGGTATTCAAAGTGGAGCAATCTGAATATGAACTAGTACGCCTATGGAAGGTCAGTGTTGAATTTGATGATTAGACTGTTGAGCCACTATGTCAGACCCTTGATTTTATAACTCTTTTTAAATTAGCTTATATAAAAGTATAAAGAAATTTGTTATATTTCTAAGTGAATAAATTCTCCTGTTCTCCTCCATCATGACAGTCAGAATAATGTTAAATTGCTTCCATAATCATTGCTTCCTAGTGTTCACACCTGTATGTGATTCCCTTCCTTTGAAAAATGTAAACAGGACATATGATTGCTTTTAAACAATAACATCAGTGAAGTTAGTGAAATGTGACTCCTTTGAAGACA